GGCGGGGGGTGGCGGGAAATGCTGCGTGCTAAAACCCGCTTCTAGCCCCGCCGGAGCCCGGAAGCCAGTGGGGGGGCCTTGGGCCAGGCCCTCTCTCTCTGCCCTGGGAAGGAGGAGGAGGAGGAGGCCAGGGCAAACCACAGCTGAAAATCTTGCCAAGAAAACTGCAGGGATCGCCAGGGGTCAAGGCACAAGAGAAAAACAGAAAAACCTCTCAGCAGCAGAGCTCAAGAGGACAAAACTTGATATCTTTGGTGGGCGCCTTTTTAATATAATACTTTAGCAAAAAGACGAGAAGTAAGAGAGCCTGTAGGCTTATTATCTAAAAGTCAGAACACAAAAGGAAAGGGGTCACATGGCTGCCATGAGGAGTATCCACACCACAGTCAGCAAAAGCCCTTGGTCCTTGGGTATGGACCTTGTTCCTGTTCTCATAGATGCCCAAACGTCAAAGTCAAAGTGTTCCCAGTCTTTCATATTCAGAGTCTAATTAAAACAACCTTAAAGTCCTCACCATTCTTTGCCCCTATCAAGTCCCAACTTGCACAGAGACTTTTGATGGGAAGAAAGGCGGGTGCCCAGACACACTGCGGGACCTGCTTGGCTGGTTCAGATGCACTATTGCAACCTAGATATTCACAGTTCAATGTTTTCCATACTGAATTTAAGAAAGAAAATACATTTTCATGTTGTGTATAACTCCTGTATAGAATTCATTGGTATGTAAGTTGGAAGCCATCAGCCCAGATGGCTTTAAAACAGGTAAGACAAATCCTATGAGCAGGATGGTCAAATAGAACCTCCATATGCACAGACCTAGTGAAGCAGTGTGGGGTAGGGGTTAAGGAGGAGGAAGACCCAGCTTCTAGTCCCCCCTCAGCCATGGAAGCTCCTTGGAGAACTTTGAGCCATTTATTCTCCCTCAGGCTAAACTACCTGATTGGATTGTTGTGAAAGTTAGGAGGAGGGAGCAATATGTATGCCACTTTAGGCTTCTGTGACAAAAGGTTCAATAAAAAATGAAATAAATAATAAAGTGGACCTTAGAACTTATGTTCAAGTCAACAACACCCTCAAACTCTATTTATGAAAAAAAAAATCTGTATAGCCTCTTTGGAAGCCAGCTGTCGAACTATGTCATTGCTGATCATCATCGTGATCATTATTATTACTATTATTATTAATTTCTATCTGCAAGACCCTAAGAGAAGTAAGCTGGTGAGGTCAGGTCAAGAGAGTGAGTGGGCTGATGATATGGGTGGGACATAGGTAAGTATGTGGGACCAAGATAAACATCTCCATTCTTACATATCATTCTGTTTTTCACTGTTACTGTAAGACTTAGCCTTCAGACTTGGTGTGCAACTTAGCCTTGGAGGAATAGAAAAAGAATGGGTGGAGCCAGAACAAACACTACATTTAATTCCCAATTAATGTTGGCATTAATTTAATTTATGTCTAATGGAAGGGAGAGTCTGATTGTCTACAGCAACTGTCGTTTGAGGGAACTACAAGGGGGCTCCAAAGGTATTCAGAAGAACTCAAGATCCCACTGAACCCTCATCAACAATGCAGTCCTGAGTCAGTCGGAGCTCTTAACCATATCCTGGAATGATTCAGTTACCTAGGGGATGTGACAGCCACAACTCCTTCCTAGGACTTTCCCAATCCAGTCACCTGACCTCTTTCTCAAGAGTTGTGGTGAACTCCTGCAGCTGGGCTTATGCAACCAGGTTGGGAAGAGGAATCCGATAGAAAAAGCAGAAATGTCTAGATCCAAGTCTGAATCAAGCTAAAAACATCCCTCAGCTAACTATCCAGTGATCATCTTCAGGCATCAG